AGACTGTTGAGGGTTCAGCCTCCTGATGAGTCGGTGAAACTCCGATGAAACAGTTTGTCACATTCCCTCGTTTGTTGTCCTCTTCTCCCTCTCTGCCTACGGTTTACCGGGCAGTTCTATTTGACGATATATATATGAGTCGGTGAAACTCCGACGAAACAGTTTGTCACAGCCCCTCGTTTGTTGTCCTCTTCTCTCTCTCTGCCTACGGTTTTACCGGGCAGTTCTGTTTGTGACGATATATATATTCTATTTGACGATATATATATATTTGTCTGTCTCCGGCGCCCGAAGCTTTGCCCCCACACCCGCAGGCAGTCTGCGCTGTTCGATGTCGGCCTGGATGCCCCCTCTCCCGACGCCCAGCCTCGCGCTGCCTCTTCCCTCTCCCCTCGCTCTCCTTATCCAACACGGCCTCGTTTTGCCTCAGTTCGCGACTCCGCCATGTTGTTTTACCTTTCCGCGTACCTGCGGGCCTCACGTCCGGTTCAGCCCCGCCGCGTGTTGTCGAGACCGCCTCATGCCGTTTCTGGTACGCAGCTGTGGGTACCGGTCGCCCTGGGCCTCGCCTTCGGTTCCACCCCTCGGCTGGTTTCTGCTGGGCCCGCGACTGTGTGTGTTGCTGGGACCTTTGTCAAACATCAAACAACCCTACTAAGGTTTATTGGCCGCGGCACCAAGTCTCGCATCTGCAATGGTCCACGTTAGTGTTTTTGCATCGCGAAGCGTGAGACGTCCGATGTAAATTTCTGACGCGCGATCGTGTGCATCGCGAAGCGTGAGATGTCGGATGTAAAATTCTGACGCGAGATCATTTGCATCGCGAAGCGTGAGATGTCCGATGTAAAATTCTGATGTGCCTGATGCGTCTGACGCGTTTGGCGTTTGTTTTTTTCTCGGGCGAGTCCGGTTTCATTTTGTTTTTGCGTTCTCTTTTATGCTTTGGGCCTCGCTGCACTACTCTTGAAATACGGACAGATACACGGTCATGATTTTTGTTTTTTGTGGATGTCGAGAGTAGTGAATCTTCTGCTAGAATACAGACAGATACACGGTCATGATTTTTGTTTTTTGTGGATGTCGAGAGTAGTGCAGCGAGGCCCTTCGTCGTTGGCTGTCGCTGGGTGCTTGGGGCCTGTCGGTGGGTGCTTGGGGCCAGTCGGTGGGTGCTTGCGGCTGGTCGGTGGTGCTTGGGGCCGTTTGCTGGGTGCTTGCGGCTGGTCGGTGGTGCTTGGGGCCGGTCGGTGGTG